AAGCCCACAGTCATCTGTATCCCAAGTCCAAGAGGACTCAATGTTCTCCTCTGGCTTCTGCAGGCATCGGGCATGCATATGATTTATACACATACGTTCAGGCAAAACACCCAATACATAAAATAAATTATTTTAAAAGATAAAAAAAATATTGGCAACTGTTAGGTTCTAGATCCAAAGTAAGAATTGCTGAAAAGGGAACTTAACAAATATTTAAAACAAAAACTATGCTTTCTTCCAGGTACCAGTTGAAACGAGATTCTAATCAAGATACAACTCAGAAGGATTCTCATCTGTCATATTAACAACTTTATACCTAGAAAGTTATTGCTAAGTTCATACATTGTATGAAGGATATTTTTATTTGACAGAATTATGTTTCAAACTTTGGAACGAGATTGTTCTAGCATGGTATATTTTTCACATATCTAGTAAGAAATTATGTATATATTCCTAATTTTCTGCCTTGTAGATTTAACAAAGGTAGAAAAATATTTTGTTTATATGTATTTTTGTAGCATTAACAGATTCCTATCCCAGTCATTATCTTCATGCACAATGTTTTATGGTGTATTTACACCACTGCTTTGACTCTAATTTATACAGGTCATACTAATATATCTCTATTTTAAACAATTAAACTGTACAGGTGTGTGCTATTTTACTAAATTTGTTGGCCTTCTGAAGCATGTTTGCTGTGGGTCCCTTCTTGAGTGCTGTGGCAACACTGCTGCGAGAACCTTTCAACAGAACTTGGTAAAAGGACTTTTTTTGACCAGATTTTTATTATCACCCCAGTTTTTAAGGCTTCTAACCTATCTAGATACAGACACACTCATTCTCATACTATAGAAGAAAGTATTATGTAAATGTCTTTCAAGGCAATTCCTTACTTCCCTTCCTGGTATGAAAACCATATAAGATAACGGGGGCTATAAAATGACAAAGCAAGAAGGTAGAGTAAAGAGAAGTGAGCAGAGTCATTGCTTCCTGGCCTCACTGGGAAAGAAGCCAATAGGAAAAGTTTTGTTTGTAACTCAAGGGCAGGGGAGGAGTTGTTGAGCTTTTTGCTGGTGAGATTCAGTGCCCTTGTGGCCTTGTTCTTGTGGCAAATGTGCACTTACTCACATGACACTTGGAAATTAAACAGCAGCAGCAGCAGCACACAACTCAGTGCCCCCAACCAAACACCAAACTGCCCTATGAAAGGGAAAGCTGGTCCCATTGTTTTCAACACCTATTGTCAAATTCAAGCTCATCCTTACCTGAGACCACCCAGAAAGGCTCGTCTATTAGACTTAAAGTACAGAAAAGCAGCATAAAGTTATTTAAATAGTGACCTTAGCTAAAAACAAGAGAAATGGCACTTTCAGTGTTCTTTCCGTGTTCTTTCAGCTTCCTGAATCATGACTATCTAACTGGACTTTGTGCAGTTCTAGGATGAACACACACACACACACACACACACAAAACAACAACAACAACAAAAAACCTCTGTAAATCTCAGGATAAGAGCGTTCCTTCCCAGGAGCTGATTTAAGTGGAGATGGGCAAAAGATTCAAATTCATATTGTAGTTGTATTATCCCAGGCAATGACACTCCCGGCAGTCCTGGTGTCTTTGGTGCCCTTATCACAACACAGTTAACCTTAACATCTTAACAGGCTCAATGACTTCATTCTCAATTGTTTTTCTCTTCAGAGTGGTTTGGAGGAATGGAAATTTGTGGTCCTCTGCCTCATCTTGTCTGCTTCATAGCCAATACTGAAACTAGTACAGAAATCCAACCCCTGGTCAGAGAGCATAAAGTATTGTGCTGGCAGAGATGAAAATCAAACTTCAAGAAAGCAGAGTAACGTTGAAAAGGAAAATAAAGAGCTAGCGACAGATGCACTACTCAAATTAAGAAATTAACTGAAGCTAATACCTGCCAAAATTATCTAAAGATTTAGCTTTGATAAATGTTGTTGCCTGACAGTTGTACATCACTTACAAATGCCTGACTCGCTACAATGCATGAACAGAAAAGGGGAGAATTCTTTTTTGTAGCATCTCCATGAATTTCATCATGTTGAAACTGCCCTCAAGATTCCATTGTTCATCTTTTCTCCTCTGTGAATGATGCCTCTATTCAAGCTCGAAAGGGGGAAAAAATCTGTCAGGAAATCCTGATTAGAACCCACATAAAATAATTAATTCTCAAAATAGCCCTTACATAGTGAAGATTCTTGGTGTCAGATGAGTTCATGGCCTCACACACGCTGCTGCTGTTATTGTTAGGGTTTGTTTACTTCCCGGTTTTTGAGATGAGGATGCATGAATTCTAGGCTAGTCTGGAACTGTGTGGCCGGGGGTAACCTCCATCTCCTGATTCTCTTAAATCTCCCAAGCGCTGGGACTAAAGGAGCACACTTCCTTTCCCTCACTCCAGCTCAGCTTCTCATTTTAGGAAAGCAAATTAAAACAAGATCCAAAGAGGACAGGTGATATAGCTGCAGGAATTGTCAGGAATTCTGTGTAGTCTACACCATGCAGTTTTTAGTTTAGGTTCTAAGAAACATTTACTCCCAAAAGAAATTAAAATGCCTAAAAACTGATTACAGGTAGGGCTTAACTCAGAAATAGTATAGGTACATGCTGTTTCTCCCAAAGTTACTAATTTAACATTGTAAAGTTAAGTACAACTTACACAGCGATTATGAATTGTACTGTTTTTTATAATTTTAGGTTATTTATAATTTTTGTCTTTTTAATCTAGTAATTCAACTTTAAAAAACATTTTTATGTAGGGGTGTTTTGGCTGCATGTACATCTGTGCCATGAGAAGGTATCAGATTCTTTGGGACTAGAATTATGGAATCAAACCTGAGTCCTCTGGAAGAGCAGCCAGTGATCTTTAACTGAGCAGTTTCTTCAGTCTTGGTAATTAATTTTTAAGGGTGAAATTTTTTTTTCTGACCACTATACCTTGAAAGCAAATACTTACAAAATCTTTTGAATTAGAATGTAAGTTACTGTGGACTGGAGACATGGTTCAGTAGTTAAGAGCACTGGCTGCCCTTCCAAAGGATCCAGGTTCAATTCCCAGCACCCACATGGCAGGTCGCAACTGTAACTCCAGTTTCAAGGGACCCAACACCCTCACAACAGACATACATGCAGGCAAAACACAAATGTACATTAAAGTTAAAAAAGAAAAAAAGGATCTAAGCTGCTGAAGAGCAGGGACCATATCTACTTTGTAAATTCTTTATGCAGCCTCCTCTAATGTTACAGGTGTTTGCTTTCCTGTATGCATGTACTGTACACACACACAAACACCCAGTCCTCAAGTTACCCAAGTAATAACTGCAAGGCTACCATCATCCCTAGTATAATTAAAACACTCTGACGGGTCTCTGCTTCCACCTTTGCCTCACTGGTCTTTCCCTAACATACAGACAGAATAATCAATCCTTTTACAAAGAGCCGGGTTGTTCCACTTTTGACACCCCATTTGGGATGCCACAAAGGCTTTTCGTGTAATCAGAATTAGGTCCTTATTGCTAATAACTTTGTCTTGAATATGTCAAATCTTGGGGGCAAAACCTATGGATTTGTGAATGCTAGCCGTGTTCTACCTGAGACAATTTATTCTACTCATCTACTACTAAAATGTTAGGCAAGTCTTTCACTTAACTGCAGTTTGTAAAGCTCTACTCCCACTCAATGTGACTTTCACCTTAACTTAGATGCCATCTTTTCAATGCCATTCCCACTAAAGCTACAAAACTACCCAATTATGCTAACTGGTTTCCCCATAGGATTCTGACAAACATCTAATATGGTACATAATTTATACTTGTGATTGGCAGTCTCTAAAGACTGCATCCTAAGTGCTGAATACTGTCTAGTATTTCAATGAATGGCTCTATCCCACAATAGCTCAGTATAAAATTAGTGAATATAGTTTATGAAATACATTAGGCGAGGATTAGGATGTTGACTAGGCCATAGAGCCTACTTAGTTGTCAGATTTGTAAATAAAATTAGATGCAGGTCCAAGTTAACAACTCATCAGGGGTGTGACAACAATGGTTGCTGTGGGGAGTGGGGGACAGCAGGATGACACGGGACCTTGACCTTCTCCAAAAGGTTCTGCCCACATGTGAGAACTCAACCCGACATGTTTGTTACAATCCTGTCATTCTGATGCCTGAAAACGAAGGGAATGACAGTGAAACTTGAGAATTAGTATGTACTTTAAGGTTCTCCAAAAAGTGCTCTCTTCACTGAGGGGAAATTGAAGGGGTGTTAAAAGTCTAGTCAGTTTTTACTAGAAGTGCTTCAGAATAGTTACCTGCAGGCTTATCTAGCCCCTCCTCTCTAGGCTTAGTACAGCCTGCATTGCTTTATTAGATTGTACAACTACCCTAATAAGCACACTCTGCTTGGTTTCTAGGTTTATAACATTATAAACCAGTGAATAAAAATAAATTCACTTCAATCAGAATAGAGTATGATTGAGTATGACTGTGTCAAACTTCCTTTAATATCAATCGGATAATTTGACGGCCAATTGTTTCTGTTTTAGGGATTTACAATTATTACATACTCTTGGTATTATCTAAAACAGAAATGTAGGCCTATATCTAAACCTATATGACTCTCTTTGAGCAGTTCTGCGTGCCTCACACAGCCGCTACTTAAGAATTATAGAAATGCTCCAATTTTTTCTATTTATATTTCCAACGTATCTGACTAGTATGCACACAATTTTAAACAAGTAGCTTTTACAGGGAAAATGAGAACAACTCTTTACAAATCTTAGAAATGGATCTTTTCCCAAATACTAAAGTACTCACAAACTCTGAACAAATACCCCAAAGAAATAACACCAGCCAACTTTTTGGTTATAAGCATTTAAAACGTGAATCTAATTTTACCATGAAGCTGTGGAAAGCTCTGCGGTCTCCCAAACATGTCACCATTGGGTAAAAACTCATCTCAGCAAAACAGTATTTATGCTTCCATTTTATTGTTTTTAAGAATTGACTGCCACCTCAGTAGTTTTAAGAGAAATTAATGAGACACACATACATTTAGACTTACGTCCACCACAGACAGATTCAAAGGCTTCCCTGAAATGCACTGGGATTCACAACCTTTTCCTCAAGAACAGACACTTCACAGCAATCCTGTTATCTGTCTACCCACCCACCCTCATCAAACAATTAACTGATAAATTCAAGCCTAACATTTTAAATTTTGTCTATTACAAGACATTCATCTGACCTGCCTCCCAGTATAATGTTTATTAACATAACTGAAAATTGTTGTTAAATGCCTACAAGAATTCTCATAATGCAGGATTTTTTTTTCATGATATTGATTTTTTGGTCCAAAATATAGGCAAAGTGATTTCTTACCACACCCAACCCTAGTAAATCTCAATTACAAGAGCTTCTCATAAACAGTTAAGAAGCTCTTACATGAATCTGGCTATTTTCTAGTTACATGAAACAAAAAGTTATTTGGATTTTTAACAGTAATATGTAAAAAGCTCCTAAACAGGGGTATGAGAAGGAATCAAGTTTGCACCAATCCACATACCTACAGTAATATGATGGAACACTCACCACGTCACACTATTTCACTCTCTAATAACAAAAACTTCTAATAACAAAAACTTCTCACTAGAAATAGTGCGTGAGCAAACCTGACTCTCAAACTGCTACATGTGGGGAGAAAAACTGCAGGGCGGGCGGTGGTGGCGCACGCCTTTAATCCCAGCACTCGGGAGGCAGAGGCAGGCGGATCTCTGGGAGTTCGAGGCCAGCCTGGTCTACAAGAGCTAGTTCCAGGACAGGCACCAAAGCTACAGAGAAACCCTGCTTCGAAAAACCAAAAAAAAAAAAAAAAAAAGAAAGAAAAACTGCATTCGTTTTTTGGTTTTTCTTGGCCAGCCAAGGATGAAATGGCCATTCATATTTACTCCTGTGCTAAGTTCAGAAATGATTTTGTATCTGATTACCTAACACAAGAATGTTCCTGTACCTGACAGAAAAAAATGGTGAATTACCAATCAGTATACCCTTTGTCAAAAACAAATGCCTACATTTTTATACTACAAACTCCCTAATAAAAGATATCTGCATTCTACACACCATGTTTATATTATGCACCATTTTAAGGGGGAAGAAAAGCTTCACAAGGGTTTAGTCAATTCAAAGGATATATAATAATATCCTAAGAATGATGACTTATACGTAAGAAAGCTGTATAAACTGAGTGGTCATCTTCAATGAACTGTAACAAGTCCTGATAATGCAAACACTGACTCCAAAGGCACCTTTCATGGCACTGAACTTCACAATCTAAGTATTACTTTTTTTCTGTCCAATTCAAAATTATCTGGTTGTCTTCACTATTGATTCCACACTACAATGTTAGAATGCTTTATAACAAACAAACAAACAACAACAACAAAAGAAATGATAGTTTTACAATTTCAAACTGGAGGAAAAACCACAGCAATGAAACCTGAGTAAATGCTAGTTTGTGGTTTTTCAAGAAACACCCTTTGCGAATACATTAGTCAAATTCCTCCACAGCACTCAAGCTGCAGTTTATAGTTCCATAAACAAGAACACACGAAAACACAGAATCAAAGTACTAGGAAGAAATGCAGATTTAAATAAAACTTCATCAGCCCTAAAACGTAGGTTAAGATGGTGAACACAGAACACATTTCATCCAAAAAACACCATTCCAACAATCCTATAAAGTGATATAACTTAAGCATCGATGAGAACAGCTTCTCATCAGCAGCTTAGAGCCTGCAAAGCCAGTCATTTTCCAAATGATCAGAAGGCCTTGGGACATGTCACACAACTACACTGTCATCGGAATTCTCATGTAGCTTGGCGCTCCGTGGGCAGTCCAAAGACAAAAGGAAATCCAAGTGCACTTCATAATTAAGACCCCTTGAAGTTTCAATGCCTAAAATGTGAAGTAATTCCCTATCATGTAACAGTCTGCCTGGTTATAATTTAGTAGAGTTTTACTTTTAGAACTTTATTTTAACTTTGGAAAATTAGTGGTAGAACATATGGTTTAAGAAAAATTATATGGCTGTACTTAAATTCACATAAAACAGCATTTTTACAACCATCTTGAAATTTAATCCTTTATATAGGTTAACAAAATGCATCACAAGAAAAACTAAACACTGGGTTTATTAATAAAAGCAGTATTTTGAAAATGGAACAGTGAAAATTTTTCAATTTTTTTTACAAATGGTCACTTCAGGGTCAATTCACCACACCAAAATAACAGTTGCTAAGATACAGTTGTGCTCAACAAGCCACTGCTCTGCACTACAGTATAGTATCTGAAAGCAATCCTAAGGTCAAGATTTAAAACCATTTTATGGGACAAGACTTTGTGTTTATAGCCACCTCAAGAGGTATTTTTCCTTCCCCCAACAAAGCTTAATTATAAGATTGACTAATTTAATCTTTTTCCTTGTCATATCTTCAGTTCAAAACACTATTATCACTGGTAATATGGTCTGTATCTTGTTTGATCTGGATGATGTGGTCCAGGTAGTGGGGTTTGAGAAGGCGGGCCCTGCATTCGTGGAGGTGGTGGTGGACCTCTTGGTGCAGGCCATATACCAGGACTCATTCCTCCTGGTTGTGTAAATGGAGGGCTCAGAGTTCCTTGATCTTCAGTAAACTGGGGTAAAGAGTTAGGGTTATAATGGTGAGGAGGGGGTGCAGTTACAGGTGGACCACCATGCTGAGGTGGGGGGGGTCCTGGAGGAGGATGATTCATATAAGGTGGCATCTGGGCAATAATATGTCCAGGGGGAGGGGTTATTGGTGGTGGAGCAGAGGTCATTGGTGGAGGTGGAGCTTGGCTATACACCAAGTGAGGAGTACCTGCAGCCTGGGGAGGATGTGGCATTGGATGGCTTATTGGTGGTGGAGGAGGTGGGGGTGGTGCATAATGTTGCTGTGGAGGCATAATATGATGAGGGTGCGATACCACTGGTTGGCCCTGATATTCAGGATGATGGTGAGCAGGCGCTGGGGCAGGAGGTGGTGGTTCTCTAGCACCTGAACTTGAGTCATCCTGAATAGGGACAGTTATTAAATTGCTGTGTTTTCTTGTTGAAATACGAAAGGTTTCCTGACTGACCGAACGAGGTGGAGGTGGAGCCATGGACAATTCCGCTGGAGGAGCACGGATATCCTCGTGTGGCTGACTGTAGTGCTCATGCGGCACATGCTGCAGAGGAGGTGGCGGCATCATGATGTGCTGCTTGGGAGGAATATGGCTCATATGGTGCTTGTCCGGCGGCATTATGAAACGATCGGGGATCTCGGCTGGAGGAGGGGCAATAGGAGGATGAACATTCTCAAGTGAAGCACGGGTAACAGGCTTCCCAGCTCTCATATGGCGATGGTTGATATGAGCTTGTAAGTCTCTCTGAGACAGATACGTTCTCTTGCAACCTTGAACAATGCTACACATGAAGAGAGAGCCTCGTGTACACTGCTCAATCCGCTGCACGGGGTCACTACAGCTGGACAGGAAGGGGAAAAGTTGATTAAAAACAGAATACAGATAAGCACATTTATTTTACACTTTCTGGTTACTTTAAAAATGCTACGTATCTGCAAAATTAAAAAAATATTTAACTACTGTTAGTGAACCTTTAATGTTGCCTATTTGTCTCACATATTAATCATTAGCATCTTTACCAACCTGAGAATATTTTTACCTCTGAACTCTGAATTGTACCTTTTATTTCTCGGCGGGGTGGTAGCGCACACACCTTTAATCCTATTACTTGAGAGGCAGAGACAGGCGGATCTCTGCTAGTTCGAGGCCAGTCTGGTCTACACAGCAAGTTCCAGACAGCTAGGAGGGCCATTACACAGAGAAACCCTGTCTCAATAAACCAAAAAAGAGAGACCTTTTATTTCTCAAAACTTAGATAAAGCGCATTAATTTTCTATAACTATATGATCTGTATCCAAGAATGGTAAGGGAAGTGTCATTCACAAGCACGGAATTCAGAGTTCTGTTGTCTCCTGCCCACCCTCACTGTGGGGCAAGTGTTTTTGATGCTAGTGTGCTGCTCATTTGGGGCCAGTTTGTACATCCTTGCTTTTCCACCATCTAATTCACAGTATACTCAGAAACATCTCCATGTTAAATAGGTTGAAATCTTGTCTATTGGATGATGCTTAAAAGCAGTAGTATGTACTACTTTTACTAATTCTGGTTGCTAACTTTACTTCCTGAATTGGATCTGAACAGGTTTCTCTCTAGACAGCTAAGGACTATATAAGTGAGGTGCAAAGTGGAAAACATCTAGTTATCTAAAAACTACATTTTGCTTTTAAATATTTAATATTAATTAGAACATCTATGAAAAGAAAAAATCTTTTACGTTCACTACATGTAATATTTCATCACATTTTAGTGCTTTATCTTATTTTTTTAAGACTTTTATTTATTTATTATGTCTGTCAGCATGTATGCCTGTAGGCCAGAAGAGGGCACCAGATCTCATCACAGATGGTTGAGCACCACCATGTGAACTCCGAGCAATCTCTACAGCCTAGTCCTTCATCTTAGTGGAACAAGAACATTTGCTATGCAATAATGAATGTACACTGCACTGGGAAATAGGAATTAGAGAAAACACCCAACAAAGGCTATAATACATACTTCCAATTTCATATTCTTCTGAATTATAATTCTATAGAACTATTCTTTTAACGTAGTATATATTTTATAATCTGTAACTTGAAAACCCTGTTGAAACATGCCAAGAAAATCAGCTGTCATTGGGTCATAACAAATCACCCCTTTATTTCCTTATGATGTCCATTTCCTACACCATTAAGGGGAAATCTTCCCTTATAGTTGTTCGTACCTTTGTTAGCAACCAATACTACTGCCTGGAATACATTCAAGTACAGGTTTAGAGAGAAGTTGGGAAGCTATGAGCTAAACCAAGGAAGTTTCAATCTGTTTTTCTCAAGGCTTCCTTATCAGGGGGTTCTAAATTAATACAAATTCCAGCCATCCCAAAATAAACTTGATGTATCATGGTGTCTACCACTCAAGACATACCTGTTTTATATATAGTAACAATTTATACAGGCACAGTGTTTAATATATGCCAGATTCTACTGTTCCACCTATCTATCTATCCATTCATCCTCATTTCATCTTAAAAATAACCCACCCAGGGAGTTTACAGACATAAAACCCAGTTTATATCACATAGATATAAATAGCAAAACAGGGACTTGAACTCAAGAATTCTAATCCTGGGGCCAGTGAGACAGCTCAGCAGGGAAGTGCTTGTTATGCAGGCTGCTAATCCAAGCTGTACCCCAGAGCATCAGTAACACTGGAGAGGAGCGCTGACTCCACAAGCCTGCTAATCCAAGCTCTACCCCACAGCCTGCTAATCCAAGCTCTATCCCAGAACATCCGTAACACTGGAGAGGAGCGCTGACTCCACCAGATTGCCTTCTGACTCTTACACACATTATTCACATACAATTAGTATTTTAAAAAAATATTCATTCTAATTTTGGAAAGAGTGTTCTCAATCACCAACCATACTATATTTGCTTCTGTGCCCCATTCAGACAAACAACACCATTCCTATGGTGCCGAAGAGATTCCATCATTTTACCTTCTCTGAATAACTAACTCAGAGGTTCACTCCACCTTGCAGAGAAGGCTAACACCAACTCAGCCAGCACATTTGCATCCTTGTCTATTTAAACCATCACTACCATTAGATAAATATAAAGATGACCATATCTTACCCCGGGCACATTTTATCTCCCTTTTTTTCATGTAAAATAGCACAGTCATAGCAAAAGACATGCTTGCATGGAATCTGTAAACAAAAATACCATAGTTAGGCATCCTAGACCAATTTAAAATTTAAAATATTTAAATAATATTTCAATTTAAAATATTTCAATAATAGTACAAAGATCTACAGACAGAAGACACACAGGAACTATTTAAATACAGTCAATACTTTTGACTGTATACCAATAGCAGCTAACAATTATTTATTATTTTTTTACTTGATTTTTTTTTTCCAAGGCAGGATTTTTCTATATGTAGCCCTAGCTGTCCTCAAACTCACAGGCCAGCCTGCCTCTGCCTCCTGGGTGCTGGAATTAATGGTATGCACCACTGCCCGGCTTAATCACAAGTTTTTGAAAATTTATATGAAAATATATAGTTATTCTTTACTGTTCTGGAATAGTTTCAAGAGAAACACAGTAAGATAAAACACATTTAGTGTTCTTCAGGAGCTTCTAACGTGCAGGGTCTCTATTCAGTATTAATGGATTCACCTATCTGAAAATAGAAGCTACTATTCTAAATACATAAATTTATGTATATCTGCTAATGCTCACCTGTACCTCAGGTTGTCCTTAAGCTGTGAGGCACCTGGGGCAGGCCTTGATCTTATGATCCTTCTGCCTCAGCCTTCAGAGTGTTAGGATTATGGGATTATCCTACCTGGCCTGGCACCTGCTTCTATTTTCAGATAGGTATGTGAATCCATCAATACTGAAGAAAGACCCTGCAAGTTAAAAGCTCCTGAAGAATACTAAATGTGTTTTATCTTAACTGTGTTTCTCCGGAAACTATTCCAAAATAGTAAAGAATAACTATATTAAATTCATAGTATTATAAAACTTCTCTTAGCTTTTTTGCTATATAATATGCTTCAAAATTATTTATAAAAAATAGTAAGCTGTATTTCTGAATCCTACCTCTACACAAATGCATTCTGTATTTGTACTTACCATTCTCCCATAGACTTTAATAGGCAATCCACATTTGTCACAGAAATGAACTGGTGTATCATCCTTTTCACCTAAGATGTTTATCTGTTGAAATGATAATTAAAATTTCCTCTTTAAGCAATTCTGAAAATTGTACTTATCAATTCACAGAAAAATGGTTAGGATTTTGTAACAGTTTTTACTACAAACAGAAATAAAAGCTGCTTAGTGTAAACCCGTTTGCTTGTTCTCCTTAAATAGTGACTCTTGATTTTATTTGGTTTACTGAAAATTACCTCAAATTATTTTTGAAGATGTAGAATGAAGCAAGTGGACTTACGTGTGCTAAAAGTTAGACAGACATACTAAAAATTCATACTGATACTTAATGTTTAATTTTTCATTTTTAGTCATACCTTAAAATCCCAAAAAAGGTGTCCTGGAAATCTTCGCTGACTCCCAAAGTGTTCACCCCCTTTACAGTCATACCGTTGCTCTTCGTTATAATCAAATCCTTCTAAGAGAAAAAAAGTTACATTTTCTAACTTCAAATTTCATTTTTAAAGTGTATTTACATGCCAAAATAGATCTATTTGCTGAAAAATGTTACTGATGACTTTCAGAGATCTAAGTACATGATTATCAAAACTAGTTTAAAATGCCAGCTGATCTTGGTGATCATCTAGTCCATTTCTAGTACTTAACAAAGGACAATATGCAGTGGATATACAAATCACCATTATAATTATAGGCTGAGTGACAGGGCCAGGACCAGACCTACAAGAGTCTTAGTCAATGCTCTTCTCAACTCCACACAGTATCCCTACTACAAAACCTCACCAATTCCCACCATCATGCTTACTGTACAATTTTTAAACACACTATCATCTATTCTTAACCATCTACAAAAGTAGCATCCAGGTACAAGTGACTGATTTGATTGCCACAGTATATTATCAATTCTACAGCCTTTTCATGACTTCCCTCTCAAAGTGAGAATGGTTTCAGATACAGCAAATGAATACATTTGATCCTTTTAGCTAAAGCCTCTCCCTAGTCACAGGAGGCAAAATACTTACCAGTATCCACTCATTTAGAACATATATAATTCTCATGTAACAGAACACTATGAAGACCAAACGGGCTGAGCATCTCCAGTCTAATCAAAAAGTTGATGGTAAGCCTCTCATCTCATCCCATCTGATGGGAAGTGCAGGTAGAACCCAATTACCTAAGTAAAGCTAAGAATACTACTAGACGGTGGTAGCACACACTTTAATCCCAGCACTTATGAGGCCGAGGCAGGTGCATCTCTGAGTTCAAAGCTAGCCTGATCTACAGAGCTACGCATGGCTACACAGAGAAATCCTGTTTCATAAAACCAACCAAACAAACAAAAGATAAAAAATATCTCTCTATGGTGACAAGGTTCTCTTGACTCCTTTTGGCCCTCTGTTTTGGTAAACAGAGTGGTCAAAGCATACACATTTTGTGCACAGCTATTAATGGGTATACACAGAAAGTCAAGCCAGTTTTTAAGGTTGATAGCACCGCCCACCTCCCCACAACAGGATTTCCTTGTGTAGCCTTGGCTGTCCTGGAACTCACTCTGCAGACCAGACTGGTCTCGAATTCAGAGATCCACCTGCCTCTGCCTCCCAAGGGCTGGTATTAAAGGTGTGCGCCACCACCACCATCACCCCAAGCTGCACACTTGTTTTGTTTTGTTTTGTTTTTCAAGACAAGGTTTCTCTGTAGCTTTGGAGCCTGTACTGGAACTAGCTCTGGTAGACTAAGCTGGCCTTGAACTCACAGAGATCCGCTTGCCTCTGCCTCCCCAGCGCTGGGATTAAAGGTGTGCACCACCACCTCCTGGCTTGAACTACACTTTTTAATTAATCCCAAAAAACTACATAGTTCAAAGTGAAAGTGATAATTGAGTGCCCCTAAACTCTTATACAACCTATTTAAACTTCATAAAAACTGGAAATCATTAAAAGTCAAGCTAAGGAAAATCAACATGTCAAACCCAAAAAATTACTGAGTTCTAGGGAAAACGTGGCATACATGACTACTTTTCGGAGAGGCACAAACTGTTTTCTTCGGCTTTCAATCTATTCAATTCTGCCATGATAGTGGAAAAGCAGCCACGAGCAATACTCACCTGAACAGTAACTTTTTTGTTTTTTTAAAGGAACCAAATTTGACCTGTACGCCAGTTTGCTGACTTCTAATAAATGGGAAGACAGGAAAGTGAAATAGCAAACTCTAGTTAACTTACTACCTAGAAGGTTCAAGTTCTTTACAGTAATATTTTATACACAAAATTTAAAAGATAAATGAACTACAAAGACATTTAACACCGCCACTTTTACAAAGAACTCAGAAGCTAAGAGAAAGGCACCAGTCACAACAGACGGCAGAACTCAGACACGCGGCGGCTAGGACTATGAAAAGACATCCATACACTTGAGTTTCTGTCACAGCACTCAGAAGGCCGAGGCAGCAAGGCTGCTCAAATTCAAGGATGAAGACCTTGCCTCAAAAAACTGTTTAAGTTAATAAGAAATAGTCCAAACTCTTTCTGAGGATTAATTTAGCAGGATCTGATGAATTCTAAAATGTACAAATCAAGTCTTTACATTTTTTATTTGTTGTATACATGATATGAGGGATGGGCTTGCACATGTGACACAGTGTGCCAGTGGAAGTCAGAAAACAACTTCTGGACGTCAGTTCTCACCTTCCTCTTTATTCACCAGGCTTATTTGGCAATTGCCCTCATCCACTAATCTCGCCATCCCCCAAGTCAAGTTTTTAATGTTTGTACTACAACAATTACAGCAAAACAAATTACTAGAAAAAAAGTGAAACCACCTGAGACTAATTAATATGCTTGAGACAGTGTCTGGTATCAAACTATAGTCCTTTGGCCTCAGCTGGCATGAGCCACACCTGGCAACCCCCCACCCCACCCCCACCTTTTATTTTTGTTTTTTTCTAGACAAAATTTCTCTCTTTTTTTAAAGTTTTTATTTATTTATTTATTTTTATTATGTATACAATATTCTGTCTGTGCATATGCCTGCAGGCCAGAAGAGGGCACCAGACCCCATTACAGATGGTTGTGAGCTACCATGTGGTTGCTGGGAATTGAACTCAGGACCTTTGGAAGAGCAGGCAATGCTCTTAACCTCTGAGCCATCTCTCCAGCCCCGACAAAATTTCTATGTAGCCCTTGCTATCCTGGAACTAATTGTATAGTCCAGACTGACCTCAAACTCAAGAGACCCGCCTGCCTGAGCCTCCCAATTGCTAGGATTAAAGGTGTGCGTTATCATCATTCAGCTTAATTAAAAGGTTAGAAAATAAAGTGTAAGGTTAAAATTTAGAATAGGTTTAATAAAATAAAACCAAGAGGACTAACTGGTGCACTAGATAAAATACAACTGTTAAACGTCTTAAACAAGTTACCTTCATCACCTGGTGGGGCCTTTGCAGGCATCCTGCTAATAGTCCTTTGAGTTCGAGCTGCAGGTTTCACTTTGTTGGCTTGTTTGGAGATGAGTTTTATAGGAATTCTTCTGCGAACATCAAGACCACCCAAGGATCCAGAACTATTAGTGCCTTGTAACTCATTGTCTATATGAATGGAAGAGAGGGAATTGTAATTTCTTTTCCTTTTAAAAATTGTTCTACAAGTATAAATAATAAAGTGAAGATCTTGGTTCTGCTTTTAAATACCAGACTGACTTAAGTGTAACTGCTAATATTCTTCATCTGGGATAAGCCTTTAAAGTAATGCTTTTGGGTACCCTTTTTTTTGAGAAACAGAACCCTTTCAGAAGTTGATAAAAGTTACAGATTATCTCTTTCTACAACTTTGAACAATAAAAACTCCCATATAATTCCGTAGTAGTTTACAGAAACATAAACCTTTTAAAAATGTAAGGAGGAGCTGGAGATGGTTGGTGCAGCAATTAAGAGCACTAGCTGCTCTTCCAGAGTACCCAGGTTCAATTCCTAGCATCCACATATAGCTCATAACTGCCTGTAACTCCAGTTTTAGGGAATCTGACACCCTCATACCAATGTACGTAAAATAAGATTAAATAAATTATTAAAAATAAAATAAAATGCAAAGAAAGAAACCTCACAAATTGTAGTAGATTTTTAAATATAAAGGAGAAAAAAACCAAAATTGTCTCTACATATATGTCTAATTATTAAACATGCAAAGTAGCCACTCAGGAAACCTAGTAAATTTACAGAAAGACAAACAATAAAATTGGAAACCCAATACTCAATCGATATCTGACATGTATTAAGTTTTAATTTTGTGTAAGAGTGTGCGCGCGCCAGTGCAATGGAGCCACAGTGGACATGTGCAGGTCAGAAGGCAACTGTGGGGTGAGTTCTTCTCTCCTGCCACATGAGGCCCAGATGCTGAACTCCAGTCCTCATCAGTTAGCAGGTCTTTCTTTACCTGCTAAGCCAGTTTGTTGGCCTATGTGTTGGCTTTAAAGAGGTAATTATTCCTTTAAGCATAACATTTTTTTTCTAAAAAGTATTCAAGGCATTTACAAAAATTAGACCATTTAATAAAAAACACATTATTTGTATTATAACATTTCTAGAGATATAACAGATATCCTTAGTTAAAAAGTCAACACTGCAATAAAAAACTGTGATTCAGACTTAGGTCTCAACAACTGACACTTTCTAGTCTTTAAAAATCTTATCTATGGAATAAAAAAGAATTCTTGTCCATGAACAATAGGTACATTATTTCACAGAACTGATTCATAAAGCCTTACTTTTTTAAGTACGTAAAGATATATATGTAACATAAAATATCAATTTTACCCTAAGACAAAAAGGGAAATGCTTAAAAATTGGCAATGCAAATATAACTTTAAAATTGTAATGTTTCACTGGGCGGTGGAGGCGCATGCCTTTAATCCCAGCACTCGGGAGGCAGAGACAGGCGGATCTCTGTGAGTTCGAGGCCAGCCTGGTCTACAAGAGCTAGTTCCAGGACAGGCTCCAAAGCCACAGAGAAACCCTGTCTAGAAAAACAAAAAAATAAAAAATAAAAATAAAATAAAATTATAATGTTTCAAACACAAATTAATGGACAGAGTTCCTGCAAGAATTACAATCATGACTTATAGCCAAATGTCCACATTAAATTCGGTAAAGCCAAATGTATTTCAAAATGGTCTCAATGATAAGACATCTGTCTACTTTCTACCCTTTCAACTGCAAACTTCTTTTAGGATGTTTTTCACGGAGAGGGGATTACATGATTAGCTACAAATCCCTAATTTGATCCACCCTCAACACTGCACTAAAAGTCTGCTCATGTAGCTCATCAGTCTTCACTGCATTTGCTCATCCACACAGAAGTATCTACCAGCTATAGAGATATGGCAGATGACCTTTTCCCTTGATAAAAACCAACCTGTTGCCCTTCAGATATCAAAAGGATTCTTAGTGGTGTTACCTTCATGAATGCAAATAGCACACTTTATCTGCAGCTTCCAAGCACCTCACACAAGCTCTCCATCTTCTGAACAGTCCTAGCCCTTTCTTCTTTTATAAAATTCTTATTTATTTTATTTCATGTGCATTTGTGTTTGCCTGCATGTATGTCTGTGTGAAGGTGTCAGATTCTCCAGAAATTAGAAGAGCGGCCATCTGGGTGCTGGGAACTGAACCCGGGTCCTCTGGAAGAGCAGCCAGTGCTCTTAAACACAGAACCATCTCTCCAGCCCAGAGCCTGCTGCTTCTCTTTTTCTGAAACAGGGTTTCTCTATGTAGCCCGGGAAGTCCTGGAACTCGCTTCATACACCCTGCTGTTTCTTGAAGCTACGAGTTGCTTCAGAGATTTCAAGAGACAACATTCTGGGGTTTGTTTGGGGCCTTTTTAAAATTAAGAATAAAAACGTAGCATGCATAGTAGCAAAACACCAAAACACGATAATAAAGAAATACCTGGTTATTACATAAGGAATAAAAATAATTGGCCATTTAATGTGTGAATCTACCTTTAAATGTAGTAACACTTTATTATATAGTTTCAAAAACACTGGTTGTTCTTCCAAAGCATCTGGGTTTGACTCTCAGCACCCAGCATGGCAGCTTACAACTGTAACTGTCTGTAACTCTAATTCCAGGGGATCTGACCCTCACACAGACACATGTGCAAGCAAAACCAGTGACTATAAGAAAAAAGGGAAAAAAAGAAAAGGTTTAAAAAAAAAAAGAGTCAAGGTATTGGCAGAACCTGTCTAGGTACTGAAGATCCTGGGTCCAGGTCCCTAGCATCCACCTCCCAAAAAAGAATTTAACAGTATTTTACAAAATTTGTGTAACATTTACCTAAGTGCCAATTAACACTTATAATGACCAAAGAATGCAGGGAGGGTCTTATCGGTCTGTGACCTGGGAGTGTGGGGAAAGAAAGGGCTGTCCTTGGAGAAGCTTCAGGAGCATCATGTCAGCTGTCTCTGCTTCCCTCCACCCCAGAGGGCCTTGGGCTTGCCCTCCTCGCTCTGTGCTCTCTGGGGCTCTCAGCCCACTGCTGACACTTCTACAATACAGAGAAACACTAAATAAAGCAATATTAATTTGCTGAGAGACAGACATCTGTAATATTTTTTTCTGGCAAAATTCCATTTCAATACTTCCATTTACAAGACCTCTTGATCCTTTGACATTAAAATCATTATTCTGAAAAGCATATTCAGTCAAGAAATCATCATTAGCTAGTTAACTAGCTAATAGGAATTTGATTTGCCAAAGACACTGTGATTCAAATAGTTTTCAAATTTGTATTTAAGGTCTTGTGAAAGTCTGAGTCGTTTGTTTAGTTTGATTATTTTTCCCTCAAAATGTACAGCTATTAACAATGAAGCATTAAGGTGACTGCCTCATAAGTAATTTAAAGCCTAGAAAGACTATTGTTGAGCAGAAAGAGTGGCTGTCCGGAAACTCAATTTTTTAAATTCTAACTAGCTCATTAGTGACCTTTCATGTTAGAATGATTTTTATCTACCAAGGCAACCTTTTATTAATAACTTAGAAAGTGGGATATTTTACACATGCAGGACCAAGATGCTCTAGTGAGGAACTCAGTTTTTCTCATTTCTTTCACATACACCCACAAACCAATCCATTAGCAGCTGTTTTATTCTCCACCAAAGTATTTACTGCAATTGCCCGTTGTCTGTGCCCTGTCCCAACTTTCCCCCCCACGGCGTTGCTGGGGACTGAACTCAGACTCTGTGCTAGCTAGGTAAGGCTCTATCACTGTGCTACACTTTCACTAAACTGAGCCTCTCTCTGGGCCACCTAAATGATTTACTCCTGTTCTTCCTCTCCTACACCATTCTTCATAGAAGAGTTGGGGTTATTTTTAAAATATTATACGCCTAATTTTATTCAGTTGCTTTATAGCCACTTAAAATTAAAGCTGTTTACCATGATCCTCAAATTCTTGAACAAGGTAACATGTTTTCCTTCTCTTCTCAACTTAGGGCTCTTGCTAACTAAACCACAGACATCGGTCTTCTCTACATCTTCTTACCGTTCCAAAAACACTTTTGCCTGGCACTCTCTGAAATTTCTACATCTGTTTTCTTAAAGTCCTCACCACAATCTATAAGCGGTTTTTAAAAAAGAAAAAACTGCCCGCCCCTTTTGATAGAATGTAAACTCGAAGACAAGGACACAGTCCTATTGCTTATCAACCCACCATTCTATCTCCAAGCCTACAACTATCTGCATGCAATTATGTAATTAAGCAGTAATTTGAAGACTGCGGGCACCTCCGTCAATTCTTAAAGAGCCTTTTCCTCCTGCTTGTCTGTATGTCTGAAGCGCTCAAAGCTAAGTGCACTCTTTCAATAACTAAGAACAAGAAAACGAAGCCAGCCGAAACAAAGTCTGAAGCCACTATTACTTGGAATTTGAGATGGAAATGTCTTGATCTTAAAATTTTTGTATTATGTCCCCAAAAGAAGCGAAAAGGACCACGGTCGAAGGGCGGGGCATACTTTGGGTTTAGAAAAGATGCTCCGCTTATAACTTCGAAAACCGTATTCGACTTTTCTTCTCTAACCTCTAGTCTGTGAAAACCCAAAGAGACAATAACTACGAGAGGTGACCACTGCAGCAGCTACCCGAAGCTGGGAGGCAGCAGGAAGTCTACAACCCACTCTCGCCAAGCGTCTGGACGTTTCTCCAATTCCGAAAGTGGAATCCACCCGCCTATTTCCCCAGCACAAAGTGCAGAGCAACCGGAATAAAGAGAGGGGTGGGACAAAAAAAGAACCGGCACCCTCCCGTTCCCAACAAGCCTGCGCGGCGCAGTGTCCGGAAGGCGAGCTCAGCAGCACCGCAGAGGCAGTGCTGCCGGTCTCGAGGATGGAGGTACCGCTCCGAAGAGTAGGCCGAGGAGCAGCGGGCCAGCCCGGGACCTGGTCTGTGAGCTGGCTTCCTCTCCGTCACGTCCCGGCGCAGTGAGGCGAGAGTACCCCTTGTACCCCGTCCCACACAAGCCAAGGGGGCACGAAACCAGGACCCCCGCTGCCTCCGCCTCCTTACCAGTGTGATCCATGATTCGGCTCGCAGGGCACAGTGGGAACGGAAGTGAGTCGCTCCGGAGTCGCAGCAAGCGCGTGCGCTCTACATTCCGGAGCCCTGAGGCGGAAGTGCGCTCGGGTAGCGCTGGCATAGGCTTCCCTCCCTCTCCTCCGCCACCCGACTCCGGTGAGGGATTCAGGCATAGCCAGAACTGAGGCAGAAAGAGTGGGAACGCGAGGGCTTCGGTGTCGAGACTGCTAATGCTCCCTGAAGGAGGCAGCCATCAGCTGTATGAAGTACAGCTATTGCAGTTGGGAAGCAATAAGTACCACAGGGAAGCGCGGCGGGCAGGTAAGCCGCCTGCCCACCCCTTAGGCGCGAGGCCTTCTGGGATTTGTAGTCCGCCCATGCCGGCCGGCCGAGAGCGCAGACTCAAACCGTTGGGCTGGTCCCACCCCAGCAGGCGGAGTAACGGTTTGGAATGCCCCCCCGGATCCGCCGCCGGGCAGGAGAAAGTGTAAATAGGCGCGCGCTCCGTAGGCGCCCTAGAGAAACTGAGAGCCGCGGCCGGGTAGGAAGGCTAGGTCCTCATTGTCTAATCATGCTTTGTCCTGACGAGCCCCAGCACCCGCTCGGCACGCGCGTTTTCCCCCCGCTCCTGCCAAAGTTTCTCAGGTGAAATGCGTGTGCAGTGATGACCACCACTCGCTTTCAAGAACAACGGCAGGCACGGTGAATCCCCGCTAAAACTGGAGGGAGTGTCAGGAGGTCTCGGTCCGACGGGGATGGGGTGAAGGAAGGAAGATGGGGACCGAAGGATCAGGGTGGGGGAAGGGGCACGTTAAGGTTTGGCGGGAAGGGAGAAGTGAGAGAGAGCAGGCCGCGACGAGGAAGAGAGAGTTACCACAACAGGCGGTACCTAGTTCCAGTTCTTGGTCCCTTGGGTCGGTGGTTGCTGTTTTCATCTTGCTCAGCCAAAATAAAAGAAAGTGTCAGCGGCGATTGCGGAGGACCTTCAGAGCCTTCCCACCCAGCAGACTTGGTTCGTGTAGGTCTTCTACCTTCTCCAGCCCTTTACACTTGAAGCTCTCAGATGAGTAGAAAGGAGCACAATTAGTGGAAAACATCAGCCCAGGAGTCAAGGGATTTGGGCTCTATGGTCGTCCCTTGGTGACGACATCGTTACCTTGGGTTGTTCACGCTTTCAGTGCCAGAGTTCCTAGTTCAATAAAACATTATTATATTGACCTCTTTTTTTTTTAATGTTTTCACGGTACTCAATTCCAAATAAAGTGTGTGTAGGAATGTGTCCTGTGTGTTGCACAGTAAAGGCTGTGACTAACACTGTTGAGATTACAGTGTAAGTGTATCGTGTTATTTAGTGATTGCCTTAATTGTGGTCTTTTGAAAGACTCCCAACTCGTTGTGGCTTTACCAACTAGGTTGTAGGTACACCCACAACTAAGGACATTTCTGAATCGCCTTTTTTTGTTTTTGTTCAAATATAAATTTACTTACAAATGTAAGTTTACTGGGTGGTTTTCAGAATGCCTTCGGTTGCTAGTTTTATTGGAGAATAATATTATTAGCTTTTTATATATATAAAGCTTAGCTCATATGTCGGTGTTCTGTATTATTCAGGTCAGTCTAAGAGTCACTCCAGCATGTTCTAAGGATCTAGCAGCAGCAGAAAAGTCAGCTTCTGATAAATTGGCTGCAGCGAGGCTTTACAAAAGCCACTTTATTGTTAAACAAAAGACACCATTAGCAAATCAATTTCCACATACCGAAACCTTTTCTCTGAATTCAATGCCAGATTCAATGGGTCTGTTGAGTCTTCCACAGCATTCTGATATTTCTCTAAATATAGTGCTGGTGTGGATTTTTTTCTTTTTAAGCAACTGTTTGGTCTTAAACGAACTTGGGAACAGTGACTAACAGTGGTGCTGTGACCAGCACATATGCTGGCCTCCTGACTTCACCTCACTCTCTCCTAAACTCCAGCTCATGGGCTCCCCCCACCCCCCCCCCCATTCTCTTTCTATTTTAGCCATGCTCTCTCTTGTCCCTCTCTCTTCTCATGACGAGGTCTAGTACTTTTTCTTCTTGCTCTGGACTCTTCCAGATGCCTCAGGCTGTAGTCTCCCTCATATCTACAAAAAAAAAAAAAAAAAATCCCTTCAACTTGAGGGTTCATGTCCTCAATTTATACATCCGATGTTAAAACCCTCACTTTGTACAAGAACTTAAAGTGAGATAGTTCTTACCAAGGAAATATTTTTACCCACCCCATTGATGAAAATATAGTTTAATCATATCTGGTGCTGCTAGAGGATTAGAATTAAAGAAGGACTTTGAAATTATATTAAGACTTTAATAGTTTTGTCAGTATTTTATGGTATATCGTTAGGAAAATTATTGGAGTGTCCAGGAGTGGTAGAACATGCTTGTAATTCTAGCCCTTGGGAGGCTGAGACAGGAGGATTGCAAGTTTAAAGGCATCCTGAGTTACATAATGAGCCCCTTCTCAGCAATTGAAAAAGCAGGAAATTTGCTAAGGGCTCACTTTAGTCAAATGTGGACCATGTACTTGATTTGGCCTAAGCACGTCCATGCACTGCTTCGGCTTCTGTACTCTCTTCCTCCTTTATTATCATGTTCATAAGCTCTCAATGCAGTGCCAGTGTGACAAGGTAATATCTTCAATTCCTAAGTTAGAGTGTGCGTAGGCTTATACGATACTTTTTATCTTTCATTTTTATTAGCTTGTACAAACTAATGTGTGTTCTTGGGATATTTCCATTCCTGCATAATGTACTTTGACTATACTCATCCCTTCTATTCTATCTTTTTCCAGTTCCCCCTTCCACCTCCCCAGTAGTTCCTCTTTTATTTCCATGTCTCCTACATTCTACATATGAGAGGAACTGTATGATACTTATCTTTATGAGATTGGTTATCATTTAACATGATTTCCAGTTTTATCCATTTTCCTGTAAGTTACAGAATGGTTTTGTTTATGGTTGAATAGTATTCCATGTGCAGATATGCTACATTTCCTTAATCACCCATCTGTTGTTGGACACCTAGGCAATAGTAAATAGTGCCACAGTAAAAATTAATGTGCAGGAGGACCTGGAGAGATGGCTCAGTGGTTAAGAGCATTGCCTGCTCTTCCAAAGGTCCTGAGTTCAATTCCTGGCAAACACATGGTGGCTCACAACCATCTGTAATGAGTTCTGGTGCCCTCTTCTGGCCTGCAGACATACACACAGACAGAATATTGTTTCCATAATGAATAAATAAATAAATATTTAAAAAAAGAACATGTCAGGCTTTGCAATGGCTGCCTTAGGTATTTTTTTTAAAAAAAAAAAGTAAAAAAGAAGTAAAAAAAATGAATGTGCAAATATCTGTGTAGTAATATAAATGATTCTTCTAGGCATAGTCCTAGAAGTGATATAGATGGGTCATGTGGGAATTCTGTTTTTGTTTTTGTTTGAGGAACCTCCATGTTTTTCATAGTGAATGGATTATTTTGCAATTCAAACACTGGTAAAAGTTTCCTTTGTAGTAGTATGGGCGGCGGGGCTGCATCCCCAGCCCCCCGGCTGCCTGCTCAGCTAGCTTATGCCCCGAAATAATTACATGGACACTGTATTCTTTTAAACACTGCTTGGCCCATTCTCTTCTAGGCTAATTCTCACATATTAATTTAGCCCATTTCTAATCATCTGTGTGTAGCACCCCAAGGTGCGCTTACCGGGAAGATTCTAGCCTATGTCCATCCTGGGTCGGAGCTTCATCCCGGGAGCAGGGCATGGCGTCTCTCTCAGGCGTCTGCTCCAGAGAGGAGAGCTGTCGAGACTCTGAGCTCACTTCCTCTTCCTCCCAGCGTTCTGTTCTGTTTACTCCACCTACCTATGTCCTAACCAATAAAATGGGCCAAGGCAGTTCCTTTATTAGCCAATGACCTTCCTCCATCATTTCCCCTTTTTCGGTTTAAACAAAAAAAAAAAAAAGGCTTTAACTTTAACATAGCAAAATTACATATAACAAAACAGTTATCAAGTAAAAGTTACAATAATCTTTATCATAACTAAGGAAAACTATAACTATAACTAACTATTCTTAACTCCATCAAAGACTCCAGAAAGATACAATACTACCTAAGCAAACAAGAAAAAAGCAACTTTTAAAACTCTAGAAATGACAGAGACATCTCGCTGCCTGGACAGTCACCCAAAGTTCCTCTGTACCGTTGGGGCATCCATCTTCAGCCTACAGGCCCATAGTTTCCAGCAGACATTTCCATAAAGCAGGAAAATTCAAAGTCAGTTCAGTCACTGTCTGTTGTGTCCTGCAGAATGTCTCGCAGACTCTTTCATGAATCAGGAACCCCGAAAGACCATCTCACCTTTAGGCAAGTTCAATAGTCCTCTCTCTGCGGGTTCTCTGTGTCCAGTTTGTGCAATAGTCCAGGCAAGAGCAGTTTCTTGCCCAAATGGCTATCAAACTCGATAAGGTGCCTCTTCGATGCCCATCTTCCTCTTGAAGTACATTGGTGATGCCAGGAGCAGAGTGTCTCATTGTCATGAAAAGCCCTAAATTATTAAAACATTTAAAATGCCATATTCTATAATCTTTGAAAGATATGAAGAATGTCTATCTAACTGAAATGTATCTCTATATATCTAGAAAATCTAACTAACATGACTACAAGCTTGACTATTACTGATGATTATCCATTAACCTATATTTCTTAATTATACATTACATTTTTTAATGAACTACACAATCACAATACCTTAATCAAAATCAGAAACACTTATACATATAACAAAATTGACCTTAAATCTCTATCAATAAAGCAAAATCTATACTAATGCAAATTATTCATATCTATATCATATCCCCCTTTAAATGTAAAAGAACATTTATAAACAATATTTGGGAATATGGGCGCAGTTTTTTCTCTCCAAACTGCTTCCTGCTGAATGGGGGCGTCGTTAATTAGGTCTTTCATGGTATAACCTGTGTGCTAGTTTCATCTCAGTCGGCAGTTGAGCGAAGTAATTTTTTTAATGGTTTTCACAGAAACTTTTCGGGAGGTCGTGGTCTATCATACCATATCGGGATAGATGCAATCCACAGGGTCTGGTCCTCTGTGAAAACAAAATAAGAAACTCCTTTCCAAAGCAGCATGTCCTTAGATCCAAATTTCAAAGTCAAAATATCTATGTTGGATTAGTTCAGCAGCATTTATAAATAAATATCTTTTAGCATCTGTTGCTCCTTCCTCAGCATTTAAATAATTTAAAGAGAGCATAATAGCATACAGTATCAAAATTCTCTGTCTATTTTCCAATTTTGTGGAGCTTTGTTTTAACCTCTATTTTGTTTATTTTTACTTTTAACTCT